CTAAAACATTTTATTTTATATTCTACTTGGTCAACATTTTCGCATTTAAAATGACCCAGCGAAATTGTTTTACGGTACGCTACTGCTGAGAATTCTAAAACGAGTGAGAAAGCCTTTATTAGAAAGAGAGATACTGATTATATGATAGCGAGATTAATATTGTATAATTTTATGCAGTGGTGGCCTATCTGCTATTATATTATCTAAGATTTAAACCCCATTCCCGAAAACATCCGCCTGGGTATACAAAAGAGATAAATAATGAAGAACTCCTGACATTATGACGTCACCTTTGCATTAACCTTATTACCTAAACATTGGGATAGGTAGCTTTGATATAATGATGACGGACGAGGTAAAAGAAAATCAAAGTATGTGCGGACGAGGGCACTTTTTGGGATAGCCTTAGAGCAATATGATCTAAGGGGATAGCCATCAGAGTTTGGTATACACATGATATGACATTTAATTTATGCAATAGCTTCAACATTATTGACCCCGACGAAAAATGACCGAACACGCAAATGCAGCCAAAGTAACTTTCAGCGCCTCACCATTTTGGCCCAAAAAACCAGCTCTTTGGTTTTGTCAACTGAAAAGCCATTTCGAATTAAGGTTGCATTTCCAAAAATAAAACCAAGTTTGCTTACGCAGTATCTCAGTTAGAAGGAAAATACGCTGCAGAAGTCAAGGACATCATCACTAATCCTCCATAAAAAGACAAACATGACGTACTTAAGAAAAAATTGATTCAGAGGCTATCCATTTCAGAAGAAAAGAAAATTCAAAGGTTATTAGGTCAAGAAAAGCTTGGCGATCGGTAACCTTCGCAGACGTTTGCGCAGCCTGGCAGGTAATATTATTTCCGATGCATTTTACCTACGTTATGGTTAAGTAGATTACCAGCAAATGTAAAAGCAATTCTCGTAACACTGAGTGTGCAATCTCTAGAAGTTGTAGCTGAATTAGCAGACAAGATATATGAGACTACTGTATTTACTCAGGTATCTTCTATAGTTAATACTCCAAAAGAAATTAATGAGCTCAAACAACAAGTGAGTGAATTAACGAGTAAGATCAATAATTTTATGTCAGAAAAGCTAACTAGAGACCCTGGTAGACGGACTAGTATGCGTAGCAGAAGCAACAGTAGAGATGATGTAGCTATTACTTGTTGGTATTACAGAAGGTTCGCTTCTAAAGTAATAAAATGTATACCTCCTTGTAACTTCTATCACTCATCACATTGTCGATCTCAATCGGCACACTTTTCAGGCAGTCGCGCTTAACGGCGGTAACCGACTGCCTCAACCTTTCACGCCGCCTTCCCTTAACCGAAAAAGAATCCAAAATTCATTACCTTCTTGACACTGGTTCGGATTTATCGATTTTTCCATATTTTTACACTAAAACTCGACGAGAAAAGTCCAATTATCAACTTTTTGCTGCTAACGGTTCGATTAATAATACTTATGTCCCTATTACTATTTGTTTAGACTTTGATTTGCGCAAAGAATTTGTCTGGAGATTTGTCCTGGCTGATGCTACTAAACCTATAATAGGAGTAGATTTTTTAGCTTATTTTAATTTGTTGGTCGATATTCGCAATAAACATCTTGTTGACTCGCTGACAGGTCTATTGTCTTTAGGAACCTACTGCGAACAGAATAAAGATCTCACAGTTAAATCTATAAGTAGCGGTACTTCTGAGTATCACAAACTTCTTACTGCATTTCCTAAAATAACCAAGCCGGAAGGATTCTTCAAAGAAACTAAGCATACCACGTTACACTATATCCGCACTACACCTGGACCACCGGTTGCTAACAAAGCTCGGAGACTTTCATGGGAAAAATTTCAAGCAGCTAAGCAAGAATTTGAGGCAATGGTTTAATTAGGAATTGCTCAAAAATCTGATAGTTCTTGGGCTTCGCACCTTTATTTGGTTCCGAAAAAAATGGGGAGTGGCGTCCGTTTGGGGATTACCGCTCACCTAATGCTCTCACAATCCCCAACCGATATCCTTTACGACATCTGCAAGATTTTTCCCAAAACCTTCGTGGCAAAATTATATTTTTTAGATAGATTTAGTCAGAGCTTATAATCAGATCAAGGTAGCTTCAGAAGACATTCCTAAAACTGCTATAGTAACTCCCTTTGGTCTATTTGAATTCACTCACATGATATTTGGTTTAAGTAATGCAGCACAAACATTTCAGAGATTTATGGATGAAGTTTTAAAAGGTCTCGATTTCTGTGATGTTTATTTAGATGATATTCTTATAGCTTCATCAACACTACAATAATTTAAAAATTGTTTTTGAAAGATTAAGAGATTACGGTATTGTTATTAATGTCAATAAATGCTTATTAATAATAATATTAAAAATAGGGGAGTTAAAAGGGGATTAAATTAAGCAAATCATAAATCAACAACGAAAAGCGATATCAACATCATATTTTTATTTAATATCAAGCTCTGTAAGGGAACAAAGCTTATTGATTTTGAAAAATCTTGTTAAAAATAGAGGGATTAATGCAAAGGGGGTGATTGAAACCTATTAATTGGAAGTTTAAGGAGATTCATTAAACAAAAACGAAAATTACTATCAACTTGAAATTTTCAAGAAAAATCAAACTCTGCAATGGGACGAAGCCTACTGATTTAAACAAAAATCTGAATAAAAATGGAGACTTACCTAACTTGAAGCCACTTCAAATCCTACACTTCCTTGAGAAAATAGGATTGGAAGGGTCGCTATAGGCATTGAGACATTTCCTTAGTGCAGTGGCGACAGAAGGGGGCACAATAGATATTTTAGGTCGCAGTGTATTAACACCCCATTCTCAACATAACATAACATAAGGAGGGTTAAAATTAAAAAACAAAAAAATTAGAAATCAAAAACAGAAAACAATACCAACTTAGAATGTTTAGGAAAAATCAGTATTTGCAATGGGACGAAGCTTATTAATTTTAAAACAAATGGAGGGGTTAACGAGAAATAAAAAATAAAACAAAAATTTAAAACAATATCAACTTTAAAATTTAAGGAAAATCAAGATTTACAATGGGACAAAACTTATTGATTTTTAAAAAAATCTGATCAGAAATAGAAGGTTAAGAGGGGTTGAAATTTAAAAAAGATCATAAATCAACAAAGAAGACACTTATTAACATGACATTTTTATTTAAAATCAAGCTTATGGATTTTATTAAATCTTATTAAAAATTGAGGGGTTAACGAAGGGGGGCGGTTAAAAAAATCATAAAACATAAATAATAATAGCTTAAAATTGTTAGAAAAAATCTATCTTTGCAATGGGACGAAGCTTATTAATTTAAAAAAATTTGAGTACAAATGGAGGGGTTAACGGGGTTTAAAACTTTAAAACAATTATAAAACAAAAACTAAAAAAATATCAACTTTAAATTTTTAGACAAAATCAAGCTCTACGATAAGACAAAATTTTAAAAAAATCATAAATTAAAAACGAAAAATAATAGCTACTTGGAATTTTTAGGAAAAAGTAAGCTTTGCAAAGGGACAAAATTTATTGATTTTTAAGAAAATCTGATCAAAATAGAGGGTTAAGAGGGGTTAAAATTTAAAAAAGATCATAAATCAACAACGAAAAGACTGATCAACATTACATTTTTATTAAAAATCAAACTTATTATTAATAAATCTTATTAAAAATTGAGGGATTGAAACCTAAAAGAAATATTAAAACAAAAGCAAAAAACATCACATTCTTATTAAGCTCTATAAGGGAACGAAGCTTATTGATTTTGAAAAATCTTGAGGGATTAAGGGGGTGGGGCTGGTTAAAAGCTATTCATTAAAAAAAAAATTAAATGGGGGGTTAAGGAGGTGTAAATTTAAAAAATTCATAAATTAAAAACGAAAAACAATATCAACTTGAAATTTTCAGAAAAAAACAAGCTCTACAATGGAACGAAGCCTATTGATTTTTACAAAAATCTGATTTACGTGGGGGTTTAAGGGGGGGTTAAAATTTAATAAAAATGATAAAATAGAAACGAACAGAAATATCTACTTAAAATTTTTAGGAAAAATCAAGTTATACGGAGTGGCCCAAAAGTCTGGAAACGGCCAATTATCTCGTAAATTGCTAATCCTAATTGTACAAAATTTGGGGTACACCTATTTTTGGATACGGAGATTCCAGGTTTGATATTTGCAACGTTGCCAGATTTGTCGTTTCTCTTATATTATTAGTCACTTTGGTTTTTCAAATTCATTACCCTGTATATTCAAACATTATTGGAATCTCCTATTCAATACAAGTTCAACCATATGTAACACTTATGATTTTAAGCAGTTTGGAAGGTCTTAAATAAATAAAACAGTCATGGAGAAATGTGGTAGACGCATTCTACCATCGATTAGGGTACTGTCAATTCACAAATGGAGCACATTTTGAACACTTGATAAAGTAACCATTATGTTAAAAAAATTTATCTTTCAATTGTTACGTTTTAATGTAGTTGAAAATAGTTTGTATAAAAAATTTATTGAGACAATTAGGCGTTGCCAGACTTATTTTATTTATTTAAGACCTTCCAGACTACATACAATCATAAGTGTAACATATGGTTGAACTTGTATTGAATAGGAGATTCCAATAATGACTGAATATACAGGGTGATGAATTTGAAAAACCAAAGTGACTAATAATTTAAGAGAAACGGCAAATCTGGCAACATTGCAAATATCAAATCTGGAATCACCATATCCCAAAATAGGTGTACCTCAAATTTTGTACAATTAGGACTAGCAATTTACGAGATAATTGGCCGTTTCCAGACTTTTGGGCCACTCTGTATAATGCATGCATGTAAACTGGTAGATATTTTATTTCCAAGCGATTTTCAAAAATATTTGTTTGATTTAATTATGATGCAAAATGTCACATTGTAAATACCTATGTTTAATTTCATTTATGGTTATATTTACCCGAATTATTTTACTTACATGGTATTTCAGGTAGGTGTTTTTGCGTTTCCAGCCATCTTTTGATTATTCCAATATATTCAAGTACGTCTAAGTCCGTTTTACCCCAAGATTTTCTGATACGCTGTCTGTCAGTAATTAGTAAATTTTCGGTCATATTAAAACAAATTACCTAAACAACTTAGTTAAAACTGAAACTTTTGTAACATTAAAAACATATCATTATATATATTATAATTCCCTCACCATTTTAATTAATTTAAAATGCAAATTAACGCGACTTGATAAACAAAGAATCGTATATTTTTTTTAGTTGTTTCAATGTTTTTTAATTGTACATAAATAGTTGAAATTTGTAATTAATATGCTTTTTTATAATTTTTAATAGTGTAGTAGTTTAATTAATGGTAAAGCAAATATTTACCTACATATGTGAAAAATATACCATTATAATACAGGGTAAGACATAAATTATACCAGATACTTTGGAGTCAAAAATATGTCGGTCCCTGCAACTAGTCCATTTAAAATAACGGTAAAAGGTCGAGAAACGCCGCACTTGACGAGACCACTTGTCCCCTACGTATTTTGGGGCGCTGATTACGAAAATGAGGGTTAAAACTGGCAGCAATGGTTGTTTTGCAAACTAAGCCACCCAAAAAACATATAAGGTGACTTAGTTCGTGAAACACCGTGACTGGTAATTTTTTCCGCAAATTTTCCCCTTGGGAGGGATGTTTCCGGCATGTGGGGGGTGTCACACACACTTTCCAGTCTGAAAGGGTTTAACATCCTGATAACAAAAATGTATCACACATGGGGTCTAACACAACAGAAAGGATATTATTAATAGGGAGCGTAGGAGGCTGTGCATTTGTGTTAAGACCCCATGTGTGATACATTTTTGTAATTATGATGTTAAACCCTTTTAAATGGTATATCATTTTAAATGGTATATCACATGACCTATGTTGCTATTTAAAAAAATCAAGATGGCGGCAATGCTTAAAATTTTGTAATTATAAAAAACTTTTGGGCTAAAATATGTGCAAATATATTTAGTTGAAATTTTGGGTTTTGTATGTTGAACCGTTTAAGCACTATAGGTTTGGTTCCATCTTTAACAGCTACCCTGTATATACTACTAAGCATAAATAAATAATGACTGTTTAAGGGTTTTTTGATTTTCACATTTTAAGGGGGGAAAACGGGGGGTGAAAGTTTGTATGGGACTATCGGTTTTTTTGTTCTCATGAAAATTAGAATTGCAGCTACTGACTACAAATTATTAATTACGTGTTTCAGGGTTTTTGGATTTTCACATTTTAAGGGGGAAATGGGGGGTGAAAATTAATTTGGGAGTATCCATGTTTTTGGTTCTCTTTAAAGTTAGAAACATGAAAATTGGAATTGCAACTACTGAGTACAAATTAATAATGACGTGTTTCAGGGTTTTTGGATTTTTACATTTTAAGGGGAGGAGTAACCAATGATGAAAGTTTATTTAAAGTATCGATTTTTTTAAAGGTAGGAACTTAAAAATTGAAATTGTAGGTTCTCATCATAAATAAATAATGAAGCCTTTTAGGGTTTTTGCATTTTCACATTTTAAGGGGGGAAACAAGGGGTGAAAATTTGTTTAAAAGTATGTATATATATTTTGTTTCTTAAATTTAAAAACATGAAAATTTGAAATACAGCTACTCATCAAAATAAATAATGATTTGTTTTATGGTTTTTGGATTTTCACATTGTAAGGGTGGAAAATTAAAAATAAATAAAAATAAATAAAAATAAATAAAAATAAATAAAAATAAATAAAAATAAATAAAAATAAATAAAAATAAATAAAAATAAATAAAAATAAATAAAAATAAATAAAAATAAATAAAAATAAATAAAAATAAATAAAAATAAATAAAAATAAATAAAAATAAATAAAAATAAATAAAAATAAATAAAAATAAATAAAAATAAATAAAAATAAATAAAAATAAATAAAAATAAATAAAAATAAATAAAAATAAATAAAAATAAATAAAAATAAATAAAAATAAATAAAAATAAATAAAAATAAAAATAAATAAAAATAAATAAAAATAAATAAAAATAAATAAAAATAAATAAAAATAAATAAAAATAAATAAAAATAAATAAAAATAAATAAAAATAAATAAAAATAAATAAAAATAAATAAAAATAAATAAAAATAAATAAAAATAAATAAAAATAAATAAAAATAAATAAAAATAAATAAAAATAAATAAAAATAAATAAAAATAAATAAAAATAAATAAAAATAAATAAAAATAAATAAAAATAAATAAAAATAAATAAAAATAAATAAAAATAAATAAAAATAAAAATAAATAAAAATAAATAAAAATAAATAAAAATAAATAAAAATAAATAAAAATAATTACTGCGTGCAATCTGGTGATATTAGTAAATGAGAGCCGTATCAGAAATGAGATTATCAAATAGATGAATATATTTAAATATTAGAATAGTCTAATTAACAATAATCTATAATACTATTACAAATATAACATGAACACTAGAACAACATATTATCACGTCTTTTTCAGGAAGTCGTGCATTTTTACTTTCCTATCTAGCCAAGCTACAAATCCCTCGGTTCATTAATATTTTGAAATTTTAATGTTTTGAAAACCTATGTTCTCGATATTTTTGAGTTTTTTGACGGCTGTGAAAAAGGCTACGCAGCTTACGTTTATGTTCGATTTTGTTCAGAAAATATAAACATTTCTAAAGTTCACTTCTTATGTGGCAAGTCCAAAGTTGCGCCACTACAGAAATTTCGTAACCTCGCTTAGAATTGTGTTCCGCACTTTTCTTATCAATATTAATTGCCTTCAGTTTAAATATATTTAAAAACGATTTGAATATAAGAAAAATTTACGAATGGGCTGATTCTATAACACCTTTATCTTGGATCAAATCTCCACCCCAACAATGGAAAACATTTGTTTTAATGCGCACGCGTTACTTTTATGCATTCTAAACAACATCAATGTTAGTGGAAGGGTTGATATATCTAAGAAACATGCGATGTTTGCTATCTAAAATACGTAATATCATGAATAACGGATTGCATTGAAATATTTTGTCGAATACAATAAAAATAATATTAAAAAAAGCTTATGAGTCTTTTAGGAATTGGCAGGCTTGGCGACTCATATTTCGAATAAAAATAACGTCCACGATGCAAGGCTATATCTCAACCCCCTTTGATAGACGAGTCCTTACCACAGGCAGGTATTGTTTGACAGGTCGTTGGAATGTCTAATTGTTCCTAACCCTAAACATTGCACAGTTGTCCCATTTTTGATTAGGTTGTCAGGATTGTGTAGCGTTCCACTAGTGGGGAGTTTAGTGACCCATAAATAAAATCTTAAATTTAAAAACGTCATTATAATAAATATACAATAGAGTTGGATGATATTTCCCGAACTGGTAATTAAATAACCATAAAAAACTTGTATTCTGTGCAAAATTTATTAAAATTAACAAAACGTTTTCGGTTTTCGGTCTTCGGTGCTTATTTCCTGTAACGTTAACAAAACTTAAAATAGGTTTCCTGCCAAACATTATATTATTATATTCATTAAAACTAAAATAGACAATCGCAATATATTTTTTTATCATTTAAAATATTTATTGGTAACTACTGGTAGCTATCCTAAATAAATAAATTTAATATATTTATTGTTGATAAGTAAAATAGAATTATTTTCAGCCCCTATTTTGTTCTTACAATCATAATAATAGGTATCTAAGTACTACCGAATTTGATGCTATCATTAATCAATATTAGTCGATGCTAATTTTCTTGAAATTTCCGTGGTAACCCAAAAATTCATCATTTTCTAATTTTTCCGGTCGAAGTGATTCATCGACTTTCATGTACTCCAATTTATCAAACCGGTCCTTATAAAATACTTACCCGAAAATAAGACAAATAGTTTCTATCAACATGGGTGCGCAGATGATTTATTTTAAAGATACAGGGATTTACAATTTTTATTTTTATTCATTTTTTTTTAATATTTCCTTGGTGACTTTAACGATTTAAATGAAATTATGACCGTAAAATGTAACGTTATCTGGGGCAACTTGGTCATCACGGGGTAGCTTAGTCACCTATGACGTAATTTTTGTTTTTGTTTATATTTATCCGGCTGTTTTTTTTTTGTGGATTTTCAGATCCCTCTCGTTTGTTTCAGGCAAACAGTCAGTAAAAATGGTAAAAAAGTACCAGAGAACCCCCGGGACAAAGCCCTATCAAAATTATTCTATAGAAAATTTGGAAAAAGCCATATTTAATTGGATATGTCAAAAAAACTAGCTGCCAAAACATATAAAATACCTAGGACAACTTTAACTCGGAAGATATTTGGAAAAAATTCGAGTTCAGTAGGCCGCCAAAGAGTCCTGTCAGCCGAAGAAGAGCATAGTATATCAGAGACCTTTGGAGTGGTTGGGGGTTCTCACTGACAAGGCTCGATGTAAGGACGGTAATCGCTAAATACCTAAACAAACAAGGAAAACCAGTTAGTATCTTCAAAAACAATACTCCAGGAGATTTTCTGGATGCATTTATCCAGAGGAATAGGCTCTCCATTCGCCTGGCATCGAACATAAAAGGTCCAGATTCTACGTGAAGCGTGGAGATATTTTTAAATTTTTCACCAATATAAATGAGGCTCTAAGCGATGCGGACAATTTTAATATATACAACTATGACAAAACTAACGTCACAAACGATCCTGGGGATAAGAAGGTGGTGGTCCCCCGAAACACAAAAAGGGTAGAAAGGGTACAAAACCACTCTCGTACCTCTATTAGCATTCTGGTGTGCGGAAACATGAAGGGGGATCTCCTGCCTCCCATGGTTATTTATAAATATGGACACTTTCATGAAAACTAGACAGAAGGAGGCCCTTTAGGTACGAAATATGCAAGCAGCCTTTCTGGTTGGTTTGACATGAATTTGTTCGAAATGTGGTATTTCAAAATCCTCCTCCCGCACATAATGGAAATCCTCACCAGCCACTTTTTGCCTTTAGTTATTCAGTCCTGTAAAGAGCATGCTATTTATATTTCTTTATTCCCTTCAAACGCCACGCATCTAAT